GGCCGCCGGGGTCGCCGGAGCGGGCCGGAATCGGCCGGCGGCTGCTCCCCTTCTCCAGATCGAGGATGCACTCTCCTGGCCTCTCCTGCTTTAGATCGAGGCCATGCTCCAGAAAAAGAGGAAGAGGAGGTGAGGCGGGGAGGCGGAGCTGCGACAAGCGGCGGTGGAAGGGAGAGAAGGAGACGGACCAGGCGCCGTCGACGACGGAGGGAGGTGGAGGGGCTACGCTGAGGGAGCAAGAGGAAAAGAAGGAGGCGGAGGCCGTCCGCGTTGGGCGAGAGGGAGTAGGCGGCTGGGTGGAGAGGAGAGGAGGCGGTCGAGGTGCTGCAGGAGAAGGCGGGAGGAGGAAGCGAGCGAGGGGAAAGGAAGAGGAGAGGATGCTGGATGCGGCGCTCGCCACTGTTTATATACAAATAAAAGGAGACGTGGCCACAGCCGCTAGTTGGACGCAGCCCCTCATCCTTTATATGTTAAATAAAAGGAGACGTGGCCACAACCGCTAGTTGGACGCAGCCCCTCTTCCTTTATATGTTCAATTCTTTTCTTATCAGTTGGGAGACCTAAGTATCTCATAGGAAGTTCTCCCACAGGGCAGGTGAATATGCTGGAGTATTCCTGCCTTTTATCGACAGCTGCCCCAAACAAGAATATCTCACTCTTGTGGAAATTGATTTTTAAGCGAGACATTTGCTCAAACAAACATAATATGTATTTTAAATTGCAAGCACTTTCATAATCATCTTGCAACAAAAAAAAGGTATCATTTGCATATTGTAACATATTAACTCCCCCCTCTAGAGTATCAACCAGTAGCCCTTTAATCAAACCAGCTTTTCTTGCATTATCCATCCAGATAGCTAAAGCATCTGCTGCTAGATTAAACATTAAGGGCGACAGAAAATCCCCTTGTCGCAGCCCCTTAGTGTGATCACATTTCCGAAAGTTACTATATACGTACTTATCTATTTTCTTTCATCTTTTTTTTTACTACACAGTGTCGGTTTTCGTTAATTTGATGTGCCCACCTCAACCACGTACTCCCTCCATAAGTACATATAAGACGTTTTAGAGACTTGACACAAGTCTCTATAACATCTTATACTAAGAAGACTAGGCCCGCAAGGTTTCCTTTTTTCTGGTTTTTTTGGAAATTTTTTTACCGTTGTTGTTTGAATGACGTGTGTGCACGGTAGTTTTCTAAAATGTGATTGATCATATTTTTTTGCTTGGTCGGTCTTTTAAGCACGTTTGATTTTGTTGTCGTATGTGCCCTTGTCTATTCACGTGTGTACGGCACATCCTACAAGAGAGAGTTCCTCCTTTTTTTTAAATTTGATTGACTGTACGTGCCTGTTCCAGAGTTATGTAGGTCAGGTGCACGCCACGCGCCGCTGCATGTCGCCACGTCTGCCTCACATGCAGTTGACCAACAATTTCATCGGTGACACGTTGTCTTCTAGAATTTGCTGGGATTTTGTCTCCTTCAAATTTGTCTCTCTCCTGTATTTCCTTCCTTCGACGCGTCCATGGGCATGCATGTCCGCGCCATGCATCTCGCCACGTTTGCCTGCTGGGCTTTTCTCGTGGGTTCTATTTTTATTTTTTCTCTTCTTTTAGTTGCCTATAAGTACATGTTTGCTTCCTGTTCCTTTGGTTTGGGCTACTCCGCTGCCGGCGGCCTTGTCCTGATTGGCTTGGACGAACTCGGCGCCTTTCATTGCCGCAGCGGAGCGAGATCGCCAGGCTCGCGTTGCCCGCCGGCGTGACGGCGAAGCGGCCGGCAAGGGGTGGAAGCGGTGCAAGGCGCGCACGAGGAGTTCGATTAGCGTGGACGAACTCGGCGCCTTCGTCGCCGTAGCGGAGCGAGATCGTCAGGCCTGTGCTGCCCGTCGGCGCGACGACGAAGGGGCCGGAAAGGAGGTGGAAGCGGCCCAAGGCGCGTGCGAAGGACGACACGCGCTGTTCGACCGGCCGGAGGCTTGCGCAGGAGGACGCCATTCTGGCTGTAGCCCATGGTAATCCGCCGCAGGTTCCATGGCGTCAGGTGGTCGGTGTCCGGCTCCGGCGGCAGTGAGTTCTTCGGCGGCAGTGAGTTCTTTTGTTCCTCGTTAGTATTGCTCTCTCTTCGCCCCGCTCCAGCTCCGGCCCCTTGGTTGCGGCCTCCTGCGACTTGCGAGGTGTTCTATCGATTGACCAAACCCAAACCGAGCCAGGTCTGAGCATGGACGATGGACATGCATGTACTTTCCTTCCTTAAGTAGTCCTCCTCCTCGGCGTCCTCCGCGGGCGTCCACGATGCCGGCCGCCACAGCCGGGACTACGTCGAGCGCGGCCCCCCAACGGGGACTTCTACACGGGGTAGTGGCGCGGCGGCGTGCCGCACGGCGACGGGAAGTACCTGTGGACGGACTGGTGCATGTACGAGGGGGAGTGGTGGCACGGCAAGGCCACGGGCCGGGGCAAGTTCTCCTGGCCGTCAGGCGCCACCTACAGGGCGAGTTCAAGGACGGCTTCATGGACGGCGACGACACCTGCACCATCGCCGCCGGGGACCCATACAATGCCTCCTAGTCCATGAACCTCCAGGATGGCGACGGCAGGAAGAGCTACGCCAACGGCGACCAATACGACGGCGACTCGCGCTCCGGGCTGCAGGACGGCGCCGGCCGCTACATCTGGCACAACGGGACCGAGTACAGGGGAAGTGGCGGGCCAGCCTCATCGACGGCTGGGGCGCGCTCGCCTGGGCCGACGGCAACCGCTATGACGATGGCTTGGAGGACGGCTGCCCGCGCGGCCAGGGCACCTTCCGATGGGCCGACGGCAGCGTCTACGTCGGCTTCTGGACACGAGAAGGCCTGAGCGGCATTGTCCAGCAGAAGGGCGTCTACCAGTACCACCCGTCTCCGGCGGCGTCGTCCCCGACAGCGCGCGACCCCCGCGATGGCTTCACGAGGGAACTGCCGGGGTTCACGTCGGCGCCACCGAGTCCACGCCGCTGCAGAGGCCGCTCAACAGTTCGGGTAACCGGACGGCCAATGTGCGGGCGAGCTCCGTGTCCGGGATGAGCAATTGCTCCATCGGCGACCCGAAGTACGACAAGATTTGCATCTGGGAGTCGGACGACGACATCACCTGCGACATTGTGGACGGGGCCGCTCTGTTGGACGACGCGCGGAGGAGCGTGAGGACGGAGGACGGCGGGGAGAGCGCGGCGCTTCTGCCTCCGCCGTCCCAGGCGCCGCGCATTGCCAAGTCAAGTGGGTGTCCCCGTCGCTGACGAAGCAACAGGGAGACCATCGTCAAGGGACACAAGCACTACGAGCTCATGCTGAACTTGCAGCTCGGGATCAGGTGGGTTGCTTCTGTCATCTTCCTTCATCAGCGAGTCTGAAACTCTAAATTACGAAGATTTTGGAACTTTTGGTTGTGGAATTCGATCAACCAGAGAAATTTGCATTTGCTTACAGTACCTCTGCTTCACGCAGAGTTATAGGAATATAGACAAGACTGAAATATGTGTTCATGAAGCCTATAGACGCTAACCAATATTCTTATGGCCCATGGTCCTATGTAAAGTATTCCAATACATTTCCACAAATCAGTTTTATATTCTTCACGTAACACATGTTCATGTCCAATCAGGGATGGATTGAAGTGGTGCTGGGACATGTATAGAGAAGGAGCCCACCTGTATGGACAAGTTTTGAATTGGGATGTGCTGTTTCCTACCTGGTGGTGTAGACGTTAGATGAGGGATCTCCATATAAGTAGAATGTCACACATATGAATGTTGCATCTGCGATGATTCATAGAAAACAAGCCAAGAGAACGATTCATCAGTTGCATATCTTTTTTTATGTTCTACATGTTATTCCTTTCTCTTTAAGTTGGTCTGCTGTTCAAAAAAAAAGCTGAGAATGTAATTATATGAGTAGCCTAGTTAAGTGTGTTCAAGAAGTATACATAGAAAAAAATAGACTGCTAGGCGTAAAAACTCGAGCTGGCTACAAAGGTACGCACATGCAGAACGTACAACAAATTTTCAGAAACTATATCAAAGCAAACACATACTGAATCAATGGGTGCGGCGTGCCGCCGCACATGCTTCAGTGGATCGACTTGAATAGGTTGGCTTGTGATGATATGTCACTTAGGACCAGCAGCGATGGTTTGATTCAGATCTTCAGATGTAAAGTTCACTACCACTACATCATGATCAATATCTTAGGTCTAAGGAGAGAACATGAGCTTCATACTTCCACTATCACTACATGTTGTAGATCACTTAAGTATGTATCTACTAGATGTATCTTTTTTTTCATGAACTACTCTGCCATGAATCAAGTCTTGGGACAACTTATCAAATATTTTAAAAAAACTAAATATCTTATCAATCCATATGGCGCAGCGTGCCGCCGCGCACTACTCGCTAGTATTTATCTACAGAGGTAGACCATCGCAAGTGGAAGATCTTAGGGCATGTTTGGTTCCCAGCCTAAGGTTGCCGTGCCTATCCTTAGTCATGCCATAACATCTTAGACATGTGTTTGGTTCATTGACGGACGCGGCTAATCTGCACCCGAGCTCATATGCTCCCGCATGAACAGTAAAATCAAAAAAATATCGAAAAAAATCAAAAAAATCCAATTTTTTTTAGAGAAACATTGACAAAAGTTCTAAGTGCCTGCAAAAATTCGTCATGAAATCACATTCCTAGAAGGCGTGGCAAAAAAAAATTGTACTATGAAAAAGCTACTTTCAAACCCATTTTGAAGCACTGAATTTGTTTTTTTTTTGCCACGCCTTCTAGGAATGTGATTTCATGACGAATTTTTGCAGCACTTAGAACTTTTGTCAATGTTTTTTTCAAAAAAAATTGGAATTTTTGAATTTTTTCGATTTTTTTTCGATTTTACTATTCATGCGGGAGCATATGAGCTCGGGTGCAGAATGGACTTTTCGGTTCATTGACACATTTGTGGCTTGCCACATTTTTCTAGTTGTATGGTCCACATGTCATAGGCTTAATTTTTTGCCAAATCTTGCCACACTTGTGATGGTCATTTTGTTAGCCACACTTTTTTTATGGAAGCCACACTTTGCCTAAAGTTAGTTGTGGCAAAGTTAGTCATGAACCAAACAAGCCCTTAACTTGCACCGAAATGTGCAAAAGGGAAAACATCCGCATGCTTGTGATCAGTTGTTTGGACCTGGTGTCGTTTTCCTTCCTATATTTCCCCATCACCCCCGATCGTCATCGGAATTGCCGGCTGGCCATTGGGCATGTACGTGTAAGTTCCTTCTCGAACGGCTGATCATTAGCTCTTGCGCCACTGGATAAGAAGGGCGCGATGCTCGGCTGGCCCTCGGCGATCGCCCACTAGTGCTTGCAGCTCACGCCCAGGCGCCCAGCTGCCCCTGCCCGGCTACGTTATCTCGCTGCGCCTTCGCGCCACCCTCCTCTGGTAGGAACGAGCGAACGGTCGTAAAAAAATTCACGAAGAAACCCGTAGACTGAGCTTGTCGTGGTTATAAATAGAGACGCCGCTCGTGAACGATTACTGATCGAACTAATCATCGTTGCAGAGACGCTCCCCGCCCGTGACGTATTGGTCGAACCCATGCATCCAACCTGGGCATGGCACGGGCCTCCTCTCCTCGATTGATGGGTGCGTGAATGACATGGCATCGAGTAGCTAGGCTATGCTTATCACGGGGATATTGATATACTCCTACGTCGAGATTAGTCCAAGCCGGCAAACTAGTGGCGCCGGAACTGATAAGGACGCCACGTCACTCACGCGCGCCGGTCCAGATGAAGGAACCAACAAGTTACAGTAGCTGTCGCGAGTGGATCGATCGGCGCGGCAACAGAGCCCATGAATGATCGCGTCATCACGCATAGTGGGACTATTATGCGCGGCGATCGAGCGAGCATTGAGTATTCCTCATTGAGAAGACTTGTGACGTGTCCGTGCGTTTATAAGAGTGAGTTCTGTGTTAAAAATAGACTTGTGACGTGTTTGGTGCGTGATGCACAGCGCATTGACCATTGAGCTTTGGGTCCGCTATCTTCTTGAGGACTTTGTTGTGGTTAGAACATCTACAGCCACAATGTACAAATTTGGCCCCCAAACATCCGAGTACGCGCCCGGTCAGCGTACGGGCGTGTCCGCTTTGAGTCCCTATTTTTTTCGTTCACGCAGGCATGTTTCTCAGTTTTTCTTATATGTCCGGACACATGCATGTAAAAAATAATAAAAAAGAAAAAAGTTGCTCCATGATGGGCCCAATCCTAGTGGCAGGCGCAGGACCACTGACCGGGCACGCTCGGGCACTCCTCAGAACATCTTTAGCAGACCCCATATATCTCGTAAACCCGCATAATTCCGGTGAGTATACGGTCTCGACCAAATTTTCTGGCCAGAACAGAGTCCATATACTCGTCCGGCCCGTAAATTTTTTTACCGCGGCCCGCAACCCCCCTCCCCCTGCGACGCCGTATATGTACGGGTTTGCGGGGCAGATACGGGTCGAAACCCTATACCCCTGCCGCCGCGTTTCCACGCGATTCCCCACTCTCTCCCCCGCATTTCTCGCCGCCGGTGAGCCCTCTTCCGCCTCCAAACGCCATGTGGGGTCGTATGTGGAGCTCCGGCCGCAGCGGCGACCCCGAGCGCGAGCGGTGTGTCCGCGCGGACGGCGCGAGGCGAGGAAGTGGACGAACCAAAGCCTCGAGCCACCGTCAAGGCTCCTTCGCCGCGAGACAGAGGAGTATGACCGCCGGCACAGGCGGCCGCCCTCCTCGGCCGTGGGCTCTTCCTCCGCCGCGAGGGGTCCTTCCGGCGCGGCACTTCTCCCCGTGAAGAGGGAGTGGTCGAAGGAACCAGAGGACCTCGAGCTCGTCGCCGTCAAGCAGGAGCCAGAGGAGATCGAGCACCAAGGCGTCGTCGGGCCCGAAGATTTCGTGGCCGATGTTGACGCGGTTGTGGCCGCCATTGCCAAACAGAGCTTGCGCGAGGAGGCGGAGCGCCAGCACCACGATGAGGAGCTCGAAGACCTCATGCTCAAGCAGGCGGTCACGGCCAACCTTGCCGCGAAGGACAAGGACGACGAGTGGCGGCGCATCCGCAAGGAGCAGAGGCAGAAATTCATCGATCTCGTCAGCTCCGACGAGGAGGACTGAGGTCCTCCACCGCGTCCTCCTCGGTCGCGAGCTTGTCCATTTTGGTACATCGATCTCTGCCTCGCCGCCGCGAGATCCCCCACCCCCCTCTAGTAATAGAACGTAAGTAGTACAATGTAGTATGTATAATGAACTATGAATGATCATTTAGTATGTGATGAACTAGCGTGGTTGTAATTTCTCCCATGTTTTTTTTAAATTATACATATTCATATACGGGGTCTACTCTGTCGCGCATGATTTCGACCCGCAAAACATATCTTCGTCGAACTGTAAACGCCTTATGCGGGTCGGCATTATACGTGGTCTGCTAAAAATGCTCTCATACTCATCTCATATATGAGATGAATATGAGGGCTGCCGGACAACCCGGGCATTTAAGAAGGCTTCGAGGGGTCCAGTTTAGTCAAATTTTTTGCTACTTTTTGCTTCTCTCTCTTGTCCGGTTGATGGTCACATCTTGGATTCAGCAGCGGCGGTGCTTAGTGTCGTTTTCCCTTTTGAGGGTGTTGTAGTCGAGTTTAGTGTCCTACGGCATGTCGTGGCTTTGTATTCAGCCATGCCTATGTTATGCTTTAGGCAATCTAGTCGCGTGTGTTTAGACTGTTCGTTATCTAGGGTTCTGCTTTGTAAGAAGTCATCTTCCTACTTGTATTGTTCAGACATGTACTTTTATGTTTGCTTTATCTATAAAAGCCGAAAAATGCAAACGGCGAACGGGTGCATCGGATGATATGAAAAAAACATAATTTTACATCACAAAAAAATATAGAATTATTTTGTACATACACAAATACAATAACGTTCAGGAAAATTTTCATAACAATATACTTTCATACGTGGCATAGACAATAAATACATACATGAAAATGGGCTTTTTGTTGTTGTTGGGCGGGATTTGTTTTTGTGCAGCTAGCAAATCATAATATTTTTGTGTAGAAGACTATAGGATGCAACTCAAATTGTATTCATCGGAGTTTGTTACAATATATACAGGTGGTGTCTTGCGTGACAAGCCAACTAACCCTACAATATCTCTAAGAATCAACTATACAAGGCTAGAGATAATAGGAGAATCAGTCGGTAATAAA